TCTCCTTATAACAATCAACTATTCAATATCAAAATGACATTGTCCAAGGTTAAAAAAAAAATCATAAAATTGCTACAGCTGTTTGGAAAGTCCTAACCACCAAAGGATCCTAAATGATTATTATGGATATTTAAGCAGAATGGATATCGGCCACTAAAAGATACCCAACTGGAACCAAGACTTGGATAGGTCCTGTGGATGGACCCTGGAATTCCAAGCCAGTTAGTTACACAGGCTTACTTAACTACAGGTCATTTGATTAACCTCACAATAATTCAACCCTACATTTCTATTTGGGAGCTCTGGTAGCACAGTGCCTAAGGCACTTGACTACTAACCAGAAGTCTGGCGGTTCAAACCTACCAGCCACTCCTTGGAAGGAAGGTTGGGCAATCTACTTCTGTAGTGATACTGCCTCGGAAACCTAAGGAGGGGTCACTATGAGTGAGGTCTGACTCGATGGCACATAACAACAACAACATTTCTAATTATTAAGTGTTTGTGAATTCACCACATTATGGCAGGATTTTTTTTTCTTTATTTTTTATATTCAAATAAAAATTTAAATTACTAACAAAAAAATATTAAATTGATATTTATGAAAAATATTCCAACTACTTGGAAAATCTAAAAGTACTCTCCTAAATAATGATGATGATAATGCAAAGTTAAAAAATAAATCATAATATAGTTTTAATATTCACAACATATTTTTAAAAACTAGAGCTCTATGTATCCTTAATTAAGGAATGGGTCCAAAGCTGCATTCAAAGGAAAAATCATAGTTCTTACAACGAGAAAGGGAAAAAATAAATACAGCAAGCATTTACTTCAAGAATTAAGTTGAAAAAAGAAAAGAAGAAGAAAACATGGAAATATATGAGAATTGGTAAATAAATCCAAGAGCTAGTTATCTGAAAAAACAAACCAACCAACAATGATAATCTTTAAGGAACATTAGAAAGAGAAACAATGTATTGTAATAGGATCATATTCTGAAAATCATTAGTATAATTTTCTCCTTTATCTTTCTCAGTACAGAACCTTTACCTTGTCATTTTGAGGCATCCATTGTGGAATGATGGAGAGATTAAGATTTTTCACTTAAAAAACAGAGAGAAAGGTAAGGTAATATCAAGCTTTAAGCAAGCAAAATAAGTTTAGCTACACCCCAGACAAAAGATTTTCCAAATTCCTTTCATTCTCCATCTTTAAACATATTAATTACTTTACGTGGAAGAAACTTTATCTGGAGTCTTCCTAATTTCCTTGCCTCTCCTTAGTCCCACAATTTACCATTTAGGCTTAGGTTTGAGTCAAGCCTAGGGGTCTGAGGCAAGAAAAAAGGAAAATATGAGGAAAGGTAAAGACTGGCAATGTCCAGTCTAGGGTGGGAACAAGAAAAATAAAGGAAGTGGAGAGTTATGGCTTGGAGATAGAGAAAGGTGAGGGTACCAAGGGCAGAGGGGCTTTCGTCCCTTCTCCCAACTGTGTTTTTCTTTTGTGGATTCTGATTCCTAATGACCCTATAGGGCAGAGTAGACCTGCCCCATAATTCGCGAGGCTGTAATCTTTACAGGAAAAGATCACCAAGTCTTTTCTCCCATAGAGCTGCTGCTGGATTTGAACCTCAAACCTTTTGGTTAGCCACTGAGCTCTTAACCATTACACCACCAGATCTCCTTCTCACTCAGTTAAGATTCTGAAATCATCTCTTGGGCAGTCTATCCTGTGGAAATTAACCTAGAGTGGAGCCCCTGGCTGGTGCAAATGGTTAAGCACTCAACTACTAACCACCCAGAGATGTCTCAGAAGGCAAGTCTGCTTTCCAAAGCTCACAGCTTTGAAAACTCTATGGAGCAACTCTACTCTGCACACTTGGAGTTGTTATAAGTCAGAATCCACTCAACAGCAACCAACAACAACAAAAGGGTCACATCTACTTGGGGTAAGTAGAAGGAGATTCTGACATTTAGTTTTCCTGAACCAACCAAGGGGGAGTCCAGAAATACCTGGGAGTCTGGCTGTGGGAACAGCTAGCTATAACTGGCTGAGACAGCATTGTAGCAAATGCTGCAGAGTGACAGCCTGGGGTAGGATCAAAAGGAAATCATCAAATCTCCTAGAGGTCTATACCATCAGTGGGCACTCGGGTAAGGCCAAGACAGACAGGGAGTACCAGCAGGGGCAATGCCTGAGGGGAAAATGGCTGAGGGAATCACAAGCTGCAAATTTCAGGTACCCAGCTACCAAGTGGAAAAGGGACATAATCATCCTAGCCCTTAGAGGAGTGAAAGGATGGTTCATGTAAAAAAAAGTTTCATGACCATAAACCTTTACCACCACATCATCTAAGCCCCTTCCTCCATACACTTGGATGTCATTTTAAGGTTGGAAGAGATTGTAGGAGCAATTTGAGACTGAACATTTGTTCTTACAAAGAATAAATATTAAAGAAATGCTTAAATTTGTCACATATGACTAAATTTTAATCTACATTAAATATTTCAGACACACACAAATCTCTGCTTATAAAAGTAAACATAGTAGGGAGATTAAGAATGTGGGAATCAGGATCCACATGGCCTGTGCTTGACACTAGCTCCACAATTTGTTAACTCTGTCACTTTGGGCAATTTAGTTAATTTCTCTGTGCCTCAGTTTCCTCATCTTTTAAGTGAGGACAGTAATAATTTATATCTCTTAGTAGTTTCTGAGGATTAAATGAATTAATAATTATAAGGTACAGATCAGTCCCTGGTCCATAAGAAGGGTTCAGTAGGTATTGGCTATCATTATCACTATTAGCATCATTACACAGAATATGCTGCTCATGAAGGAAAATCAGACTAGTTACAGAAAAATTAAGAAATTACAAATTTCTCTACACATCCAAGTAGTATGGTGGATTAAAATATGTACCCCTGAAACACAAATAATTAGAATCATAAATGAAAAAAAAAATCATTGTCATCAAGTCAATTCCAACTCAGCAACTCACATTGGGTTTCCAAGGCTGTAAATCTTTATGAAAGCAGACTGTCTCATCTTTCTTCTGAGCTGTGCCTGACGAACACAAACCACTGACCTCTGGGCTAGCAGCCAAATGCCTTAACCACTATACCACCAGAGCTCCTTCATAAATAAAAAGGGGGATATCAAATAGATCAAAAGACAAAAAGGCTTTAAAAACAACAAAATGGTAAAAAAACAAAAAATCTTCATAAAATGGATCATATTCAGGAAAAAAAAAATTGCATGTATTATCTCAAGAAGTGTGCCAAGTAGAAAAGAAGTGTGCCAAAGAAACTGAAAAATTCAAAATAGGCCTAGAACCACATAATTTAATTAGTGCATTCTTTCAAACTTTCCAAAGAGGCAATCCCAGTAGGTATAATAGTCCCAGAATTTGGAAAGAGATGGAATGCTCCCCAGTTCATTGTAAGGTTGAACTACCTATAAATTCCAAACCTGTGTACAATAAAACTACAGGCCAATATTTTTCTGAAAAGCTTTTGTTACTCCAGGATTTCTTGTCGTTGTTGTGGGCTGTCAAATTGGGTCCCAGTCATAGACCCTATAGAACAGAGTAGAAATGCCCCATAGGGTTTCCTAGGTTATAATTTTTATGGGAGCAGATCACCAGGTCTTTTCTCCTGCACAGCAGCTGGTGAATTCAACTGCAGTTGATTGGGGGGGGGGGGGAGGTGTGAGGGTGGCAAGCAGTATTGTTCCTGTCTTCCAGGCATTCCCAGACCCTTCCTATGACCATGCAGAGCCACATAGGAGCCCTGAGTCATGCAATCAGAAGATTAAGAATATACAGATGGATACACAGAAGAAAATGGATTCAAGAAAGAGAAATAGAGGGTAAAAAACAGTGTAAAAGATTGCAATAATAATAGCAGTGTCAAGGCATAAAGAACCTTCTGCTGGTGAAAATGTTAATTAATTCAACACTTTTAGGAATCAATTGACAATATATGTTTAGAACCTAAAATGTACATGTTCTTGACCTAATAATCCAAGTTCTATCAGTCCATTCTAAGATTTAAATTGAAATGAAGATAAAGATTTACATGAAAGGATGTACACTTTAATAGAATTCTTGATAGCAAACAAAATAAAAACAGGAAATAACCTAAATGTCTAAAAATGGAAACAGTTAAATAGATTATGGCACTTCATATAATGAATTATGCAAGAGTCAAAGTAATGATTTGGAAAAAAAATGTCAGTGACATGTATATATGTATATTTTTTTGATGAAAAAGGAATATATATATATATAAAGTATAATCTTAACTATATTTTTTAAATATTTGTGTATAGGAAAAAGAATGAAAGAAAATTACCCAAAACCTTAACCTCATCTTTAAGTGGTGGACTCTGAGTGAGTATTATTTCTTTTATATATTGTTGTCTAACTTTCATCATCAGGCATGTATTACTTTTATAATCAGAAAAAAAAAGAGCCAAATAACTACTGCACGTGGATAATATGTTTATGAATGATAAAGAGAAAGATTAAGACACTTATTAAGGCCAAAGACATTCTCAACAACGTGCACAGAATTCCATTCTTCCAAACCTAAATCTTAACACTGGTGCACTTTAAAGCACAGAAGACAAAAAAGCAAATCAATAAAATCCCTCAACAAAGACATATTGAGCTGCTTCTCTCAGGGATTTTCAACACCAGTGTCAAGAGGGAAACTCGGCACCCAGTTTTTGTTTTTAGTGCAGCTGTTTTAGTATCTCACTTGGTTCGAAGAACAGTCCCATCCAGGAATAGGCTTTTAAAAGGCAGGTTGCGAGTGTGAAGTTACACACACGCACGAGCGCACGAACACACATAAGCGCACGAACACACATAATCACACGCTATCGTTTAATCCCAACCAAACAACTCCAAGCTAGTCCTGCGGATGCAGCCGCGCCCCATCCCGCGCCGGCGACCCGGCAGCACCTGCCCGCTCGCAGCTCCGCGCCGCCTGTACCTGTTCGTGGTGCGTGGTATCAGGGTCGCGGGGCTCCTGAGCATCCTCAACGCTGCGGGAGTGCCGTGGGTGGCCTCCCTGCTCTCCTCCAACAAGATCCTGCACAGCCAGGAAGAAAACTAAGTTGTTACACCTCGCGGGGAGCAGTTCTTCGGCAGGCTCGGCATCTGGCTCGAAGCCTAATCAGCACATCCTCCGCGCGCCCTTGCTCGCGAGGCAGGACCCAAATTATCGAGTTTGAAGAGGATTAGGGCGGGAAGAAAGGGACAACAGGGGCCAGAATAGAGAGCCAAGAATACTGATGCGGAAACCGACGGCAAGTGCCCGCTTCCCAGCTTCCTCGCCCAGCGCGAGTCACGCTGGCGCTCTCGCAACCATGATCGATCCCTCTCGGCCCCAAATGGTGCCCAAGCAGTTCAAGTGTCGCCTTTCTGCGACCTCCCCGCCCACCCTTTAGCCTCCAACCCTGTCTCTTGAACCTCGCACTATCAGCCCGCCGCTGCCCGTGGGCTTTTCCTCGAAGAGGCCAAAAGTATGCGCGCCCAAGTCGGTCGACCAGCGGCTGGGAATCCCAGGGCGCACGGCTGGGCGCCCGGGCGGGCGGGGCGGACTGTCTGTGCTGGTCTGCCGGAGCGCGGTCGGTTGGTTACCTGGAGCGGCCGGGCGCGTAGGCTGAGCACCAGAGAAGGCGCAGCAGTAGCAGGCTGCCGAGCAGGGCGAGCAGCGCGCCCCCCGGCCGCATCCTGAGCCACAGGCGCCGCCGCGGCGAAGCGCAGCCCTGGCGGCCCCGATTCGCTGCTCCCGCCGCCGCCGCCGCCACCGCGGCCGCAGCCACGCACACCCCCAGTGTTCAAAGGCGGCGGCTAGGGGCAACAACAGCGCGCGGCACGGGCCCGCACACTCGGGGACTCGGGGCGCCCCTCCCTAGCCTGCACAGTCTTGGGGACAAGAGAAGACGCCGCTTTCTCGCTCTCTCTTCTCCCACACAGCCCTGGACTGCTTATTTCGGCTCTCCGATTGCAGATGACGATTTGCCGAGCTCGCCGCCTTTCCTCCCGGAGGCGCTTGGAGCTGCTGCGGGCTCTGATCGCTGCCGCTGCTGCCGCCGCCGCCGCCGCGCGGGGTCACCTGAAGGTTGGGGCGCGGGAGCCCAACTCCCTGCTGATTGGTCTCCAACTTTTCTGCGCCCTCACCTTCTCCAGAGCGCCCGGGTGCTCTTCTCTGAGGCCCACGCGTCAGACCAAAACATACCACAACTCTCAGTCCCAGCGGTTGAGACAGCGGACTTGGGGGAGGGGGGGTGGCAGGAAAGAAGGGACCAACATCAGAAACTTTTAAAACTGTGTGGTCGCTCTAGTGGATAGTCCCACGCACAGGGCTTCTATGGACTTTTTAGTTCGTTGAGTGAATCATGGTACCAAATGGAAACAACAACCTCCTCGCGCTTAATTAAACTCAAGTTTAAAGGGACAATGAATTAACTTCCAGGAATCAGAAAATCTTTAGGCAAACCAGTAAACCGGCCAAATACAGCCCAAATCTGCCTGGTTTTGTAATTTTATTGGAACATATCCATGTCCATTCCTTTGTAATATCCATGGCAGCTCTTAAACCACAAGAGCAGAGTTGCGTAATGGCAATAGGGACTATAGGCACACAAAGCCTAAAATATTTACTATCTGGCCCTTTACAGGGAGTCCCTGGTGGCCTGGCAGTTCAAACCTACCTAGAGGCCTCCTTGGAATAAAGGCCTGCTGATCTGCTTTCCAAGGCCACGGCCATGAACACCCAGTGGACACAGTCCTACTTGGAAAACACATGATGCCTTCATGAATTTGAATCCATCACACCCTTGGCCTAGATCATTGATTATTATTTCATTGTGGGAAAAAAAAAAAAAAGTGATCCTATGACAATGTGATAAGGGAGCTCTGGTAGCATAGTGGATAAGGCATTTGATTGCTAACCCCAAGTGAGCAGTTCAAACCCACCAGATGCTCCTAAGGAGGAAGATGAGGCAATCTACTTCCATAAAGATTTACAGCCTTGGAAACCCAATAGGGGTCACAATGAGTTGGAATTGACTCAATGGTAGTGGGTTTTTGTGTTGTTTTGTTTTGTTTTTTTAATGGCAATGATGGCAGTGAGTTTGTTTGTTTTTTTATCTGATATAAACCGGTTCCTCACTGATTTGGGAGTGGGTGTCTCCTTTTTCCAGTCCTGAGCTACCCAGTCCACACATGGCTCACAGGTTGCCCAAGCCCCCACTGTGCAGCCTCCCTAATCTTGCTTTCCAGGTCTCTGACTTGACCCTTTCAAAATACCAATAAACATTAACCCTATAATGGATATATGGGAGTTTATTAGACAACTCACTCTACTTGGAGTGCTTGAATTTTTTCCAAAAGCAATACTTGGACTCCACCATCTTAGAAATGCCTAACCCAAAACCCAATGCCATCAAGTTGATTCTGACCCATACCAACCCTATAGGATAGAGTAGAACTGACCCATAGGGTTTCCAAGACTGCCAATCTTATGGAAACAAACTGCCTCATCTTATTCCCATGGAGTAGCTGACCTTTTGATTAGCAGCTGAATACCTTAACCACTGCTCTAGCTAGACTCCTCAGAAATATCTACAGTTATTCTGAAGAGGTTTAGGTTTGAAAAGGCTTTAATGAGTCAACTTTCCCACATGACAAAAATACTTTTCTTTTCAATGGAGTCTCCTAGAGGCCAATGTAAGTCATTTGGGGAGCAAGTAGGCCACGTACCTCAATAAGGCACACAGTGTACTGCAGAGGAGTCCCTGAGTGATGCAAACAGTTAAGCAGTTTAAGTGCTAACTAAAAGGTTGGAGGTTAGAGTCCACCCATAGGCACCTTAAAAGAAAGTCCTGGTGATCTACTTCCAAAAAATCAGCCATTGAAAACCCTGTGGAGCACAGTTCTACTCTGATACACATGGGGTTCCCATGAATAGGAGTCAACTCAAAGACGATTCTTTTGATTTTGGTACTTGTAGGCTTGGCCCCAGTGAGTTAGTTACGTATGTCAAGAAGAGGAAAATGATAATCAGAAATACAAAGATATTGAGTCCTCTCTGGCTAATTACACATTAACAAAAAAAAAAATCAAACTCTTTGCAGATGAGTTGGCTCTGACTCATAGCAACCCCTCCTTGGGTTTCTGAGGCAGTATCTCTACAAGGAGCTCTGGTAGCATAGTGCCTAAGGCACTTGACTGCTAACCAGAAGGCTGGCGGTTCAAACCCACCAGCCACTCCTCGGAAAGAAGGTTGGGCAATCCTACTTCCTTAGTGATACTGCCTCGGAAACCCAAGGAGAGGTCGCTATGAGTTGGGGCTGACTCGACGGCATACAACAACAACATCTCTACAGAAGTAGGTTGCCCAGTCTTCCTTCCAAGGAATGGCTGGTGGGTTTAACCACCAGCCAATTCCACATTATTCTAACTAAAAATATTTCGTTGAAAACAAACCAGAACTTTGTACATAGTAGTTGATCAATGAATATTTGTTCAATGAATAAAACTATAAGAAAGTGATGAAAAATACTAAATATAAATGTAACTGAAAATGTAATTTCCTTCCTTAGCTCATGATTGTTGTCAAAATATGTAATAATCAAGAAAGAGGTCTACTTTTATCTAAGACAATTTTACAGATCCAGCTGTTTATCAGAGCATGGGTTAATAAAGTAATGCTATATTCCAAAAAGCCAAACCCACTGCAACTGAGTTGATTAGGACTTATAGCAACCCCACCTGGGTTTCCCAGGCTATAAATCTTTATGCAAGTAAATTTCCTCTTCTTCTACTTGGGGAGCAGCTGGTGAGTTTGAACCACCAAACTTCTGGCTAGCAGCCAAATGCCTTACCGACTATACCACCAGAGCTCCTTAATGCTATTTTCAGGTAGGGCTAAAATAATATAGTAATTCTACATATTTGAAAGTTTAAGCATTCTGTTAGATAAGTAGGATATGGTACAATTATACGTAAATTGGAAAAGTAGCTTGCATTTGGAAGATATTTTGAGCTTTATTTCTTCTGGAATAGAATTGTGCAGACAATCCAGCCTGAAGATAGTATACAAAAAAGAAAAGGGCATTATTGTACCAGCCAGGAAGCTGCAATTTCACCTAATTTACTAAAGTTTAATATTTTGGCACAGCTGGGCTTAAGGCAGTAGCAGAAGAGTCAGTCTTGCAGTGGGCTCCCTAAACACCCTTGCTGCAAATGAAGTCACTTTTTATCAAGGCAATGGCTATCAGCAGGGGACTCACAAAAGCCCATTTTAATTGGAAAACCAAGTGAAAATTTGCAATGGGAATTCTGAGCCAAGTGTTAAAATTTGACAGTAGAGAACTTTACCACAAGCTTTGTAATGTAAAACTTTGCCTGGTAAAAAGCAAGCAGTGTCTTGCTTATCCTTAGAATAGAAAAGAAACTGATGAAAACACGAATCATTAAGAATTATCTGCCAATGAACCAACATTGAAAAACTGCGTGGACCCTTAGCGTTTGATAACATAGCATTTGCAGGTTTGACCAGCAACCTGAAAGATCTATGTAGGTCATGTAGTAATGTGAGACACCTGATGATCAGACTCAAACTACACACCCCTGAAACCATTGTGCGGAGATGCCACCCATCTGGTGAGTGAGTCTACCTCACCCAGTCCACCCAGTATTTGCCTTTTGTTTCTCTTTGCTATTTTTTATTCATCATCATGAATGCCCTTACTTTAATAAAAAACCTTTATAAAAGTTTATTGGGAGGTTCTGATATAGAAAAAATGTCCAAGTAATTGAATATCTCCATCAAAGCTGAAAAGGTTTGTAATTGTTGGTCTAAGGTTATGTATAGTGAATAAATGACTTTCAATAAAAAGGTGATTTAGTAACATTTCTGTATGCAATAATTTGGGGATGCAAGAAGACGAATCCCAAATATCAAGTGTATTCATCAGTATACAGAGATAGGAAACCTCAGTATAAGGAAAGGAAAAAGAACTGTGAGAAAGACAGAACAAAATTGAAGCACAAAAAAAAACAAACCTTCATTTGGATGATATGTTTACTTCCCTGCCTAGAAAAGATGGTTTCTGATGTTTCCAGGCTGCTTGATTGGTTTTAGTAATATCAGAGATTTGTGAGGGCTACAGGACAATAGCACATCCATAATATTAAACTACTCCTTGGGGGGAGAAAATTCATAAGGATAGCATAACCAAGCCTGCATATTTTCAGTAAATCATAGGATATAAATAAAAGTAGAAATAGCTTCAAGAAATCAACAACCTTGTATGGGAGTATCTTTTCAAATATGTTTTATTATAGTTTTTGCTCACTGCTAATTGTATATAAGAAATTAAAGCAATTCTGTGTATAATCTTCCCTTTACCAAGATAGAACACCTAACATAATAGATGTATGGTACGCACATATAAGGAGCCTTGCTGGTGCAGTGGTTAAAGAGCTCTGCTGCTAACCAAAAGGTCATCAGTTTGAATCCACCAGCTGCTTCACAGGAGAAAGATGTGACAGTCTTCTGTAAAGATCACAGCTTTGGAAACGCTGTGGGACAGTTCTACTATGTGCTATAGGTTAGCTATGAGTTAGAATCAACTTGATGGCAATGGATATGTTTTCTTTTTCCATTGTATATAGTACATAAGTTACTGTATATATATGAAATCCAATTTTTAGGATAACAAGAACTACAAAACCAAAAAAAATTAAGGGTTATTATTCACTTTATAAAATAGATTTTTGGTTTACAAAATATTCAAACTTCTATATCTCCTTTGACAAATTATGGATA